TTTGATTTTTTTATCTTTTATTTTTAGTTGATATGTTTTTATTTATAATCACAAAAGTGTCACTTTTATTTACTTCATTTCTAGTTTTCAAGTTTTTGTTGAGGAAATACTAAAATAATTTATTTTTAATTTTTATCATTTATTTTAAATTGTTAAAAGAAAAATAGGAAAAAATGTATTTTTTTAATTATGACTAAAAATATAATATTTAAAATAAAAAAAATAAACTAAGCACAATCAAAGATTTCATTTTGAGTTACTATAATATTTTTTCATAATTTATTTCACAACATTTTAAAAAATAAAATAAAATAAAGAATTAATGTTTCTCCTAAAGATAAAATCTATGTTGCACCGATGCTGACAGGGGACACGGGATACGCCATGACTCTTCGACACATTAATTTTAAAAAATGTTAGATCTGACACGTTTGGACACATTTTGATATTAAATAATATTTTTAATTTATATAGTAGTGTATATTGTATTTAATATTCAATAATTTAACAAAAAAATAAAACTAAACTTATAATATCCATCAATTTTGTAAAGAAATATAAGATATTTCAAAAATTTATTTATACTCAATAAAATGGTAATCATAATTCAACGAATCTAATAATTAGAACTAAAAAAGCAATGCAATACAAATTTTGAACTCTTTTTTGAGTCTTTGCAATGCGTATTAGAATGTGAAATGTCGGAGAGTGCCGAACACGACACATCAGAGTTTTTGAAGTGTCGATATATCATAGGATAAAATTATCATTTGCAATCCAAAATAATATCGTTTCAGAATTTTAGTAAAATTCATAATATAATAAGAAGAAAGCAAAATTTCCAAAATACTCTATTTTTTTCCTAAACACAAAAATGATGTTATTTTAAAATTACGAAGATAATATTATCTCGTGTGGAGAAAATTTTTCACATAATATAAACACTACTATATAAACTATAAACAAACCGGATACTCTCTGACATCTCGCGTGACAAGTCTCTCCACCCATGTCTTCGTAAATGATATAATTAACATTAGAAAAATATATATATTTTAAAGTAAAGTTGTCTGTAAAAATATATAAAAATAGATCTATCGTGACATTTTATTAACTTAATATTCATCTTAAAAAAAAAGTCAAATTTAACTTCCTGGTTAATTTCTTGTAATGGTGGTCCTCCTGGTGACCAGAACCACTTTCCATTTGGAAGACATGACCTGTCCAGAATCTTGTCATGCTCGAGTGGAGGCAAACTTTGTTTAGACCCTTTTTCTTGTATCACCCTATTATTTTGGAAACAGTCTCTATCGTTAGTTGGGATCATTGTTTCTCACTCTGAGTCTCTTTCTCTTTTTTAGTTCAGCTCAATCCATCTTTCTTCATCACTTGGATAATTTGAATTATATTCACTTTTACTTGCCCAAATCTATGTTTAACTTATCAAATAAATTATTTTGAATGTGTATATTGGGTCACACTTAGCTTAATTATTGGGTATGACTCATACTTTACATACTGGTGAGAGTTTTTATTGACAGGGTTAGCAGAAAGTCAACTGGAATTTGACTTATTGTAAAAAAATTTTCCTAGTAGTTTGGGCTTGGAACTATATATAATTACTGTTAGGGTTTTCTAAATTCTATTTATATTCTCTTGTAAACCGAGTGACTTATAACGAGTGGCGGTGAAGTGAATATAATAAAAATAAGCTGGACGTAGCCTATATTAAGTGAACCAAGATAAATCGATGTGTCAAATCTCTTTTCTCTTTCTCTTTATTGTTTTCGATTTGTGTATCGATTTCCAACACTAATTTCATATATGTTATTTTTATCCTTCAGGGCCTGTTTGGTAGCAGGATTTTTTTTTGTTTTCTTGAGATTCCTTAGTTGGGTAAATAAGAATGCATCGTTTGGTACAAGATTTTTAATTTTTTTTTGAGATTTTCTTTTTTGTGTAATTTTTTTTTAAAAAACCATCCAGGAATACTATCAATAAGGTGGTATTTTAAAATTTATGTGGCAATGGAAAATTTAATACAACTAAACATAGCATCAACAAAATTAACCAAATATTTCCGGGAATATATTAGTCTACCAAACAACTTTTTGGTAACATTCACAGAAAACTCATTTTCTCATCATTTTCTTAGAAATCGTGATTCCCGGATAAAAAAAAATTTCTCCTGTACCAAACGCGTCCTCAAAATGTATAAGGTGCCAAATAGATTATTCTAGAAGGTGCCCTCTACACCACCATCTCAAAAATGGATTATTTTTTCTTGATTCTGCTCTAATTTTAGGATCTTTACCATACATGAGAAAGAGAAGGAATCAAGGGCAACGACAAAGAGCAAAAGGAAAATGCTACATTTTACTATTTTATTGCTCAAAACATCTTAGGATTCTTCTCATAAGGCCAACTTGAGTCAGAGACAGTGAAGCATTCGGTTAAACAAATGGCCCACTCTGCATTGTATTCTTGTGGCTGTGGACTCTTCTATCGTTTATAAGACTACCCCTTTTCCCTACCTTCCCCCCCTACCATCTTTTTCTTCTAGTTAATCATAGGCAATTAGTCATTGAATTATTATAAGAAAAATGAAACATTTATAAGTGGGCTTGGTGGAAAGAAATAAGAATTGGAAGCTTATTTAAATGTCGCTTTACGACGAATTAGTCATGTTTTTGTCAAATTTATAGGTCCATATATGACTAACTTTATGCTTTTTTCTTTTTTCTTTTTGATGCTAGGTGTGTAGATTAGTTTATCCTCTCAAGAAGAAATTCAAGATTTTCAAAAGAATGAAAAAAGGTAGGTATAAAAGATTAGAATTGGTATCAATTGGGAGGATATACCCCAACAAAAGTAATAGGGAGCATTCATACTACCTAATAATAATGTACTTTTAATTATGATATGAAGCTCTTCGTATAAGGGAGTCAAAAGTTCGTTGACAGCCTTAGCTAAACCTGAAAAATAAAAATTAAGAAAAATAAAAATTAAATTCTCAAAAACCTATATATACAATTAAAACTAACCAATATATATACAATATATTAAGATAAATATTAAATGCAAGAAGAAGACAGAATTCAAACATTAACAGTTGATATTATAAAAAAATAAAAATGGAATGGTTTAGAGTAAATGGAGACTATGTATTCCACCTTCCCCCTAGAGTTAAGGAGGATGGAGTAAAGCAGGTAGGTAGGTGTGTAAATCCAAAATCAAATTTAATGAAGCATTGATGGAGAAAAATATTTTGTGAGGGGTTGAAGGAGATAAAATCTATATTAATTTAAGAAGGGTAATATTAAAGTGGGCCAATACCTAATTAAATTTGAAAAGTTCCAAGTTTTTTTTTTATATATATAAGATATAATAAAAAGGAAAACTTGAAGGCTAAACTTGAGGGACAAGGAAATGAGTTTATACTAAATTACTTTCTCAGTTTGAACATGGTAAGATAAAGTTTTATGCGAATTTGAGAGCCCACCATTTATGAAATGGGGTAATATTAAGAAGAATCAGCAACCTTCTTATGGATGACATTATCACAGCAAAAACTGAAAAAAAGTAAATCAATTCATAACATAAGAAAAATATGTAAGAATTAATATTGTTAATTGTATGAAATTTAGAAAACTATTAATTAAAAGTACATATTTGTGTTTGCCATGAGTAAATAAATAGGGAAGTACTAAATGCACTTAACACCGGTGATTGCGCTAAGTAAGGTCTTCCCCACTACTTTTTAGGTAAGATAGTTGTTCAGCAGTAAGCTGAGAATGAAGAAGTCGAAAAATATATACAAATAATGAACGAGGATATAGCCGTAAATATAATTATTTTATATAATAAGTATCTCATTACAAGTTATTAAGTAAAGACATACACTCTCAATAGGCACACATTATGTAAATAATTGATATGCACATCCAAACAATTAATTTAATCACATATAATAATAGGATTACCATATATATCTTTTAGAAATTAATAGATCATGTATCAAACCTATATTTATAAAATCAAAATTAACTATTAATAGTCAAAAAGAAAATTTCTAACAGACTGTTGAATCAAGATTGAAATAAGAGAACAGAACCCCACCGCAATGCAATCAATACCATTATTCAACTCAAGAACAAAATTTTTATAACATTATTCAAAAAAGACTACTGTTATGTCATTATAATAATGGGGACAAATTAAAAAAATGAGAACATTGGTTTGGATTCACATTGAACCTCAGCATTTTAGATGGAGTTTCAAAACGTTGTAGTTGTGTGTATGCAGTGTCACGGTCCAGCTAAGACTATGTTGGCAAACATCATTATCGTTCCCAATTCCATTCTTATTAGGATCTTTCCCTTCTCTGCATTTCTTAAGCCTAAGTTAGCAATGTGTAGTTAGTTGCATTTGCACATACTATAGATTGATTAGATTACAACCTTTGATTCTCGGCATGCTTAACACGTGTCTCCATATGTTGTTGTTTTACCTTGTATTATGTTACCGTTGTTTGTGGTTGTGGCACTCAAATCAAATCTATTATCTTAAGTTCTTAACCACTTCACTTCACTCCCTAGATCAGCATTGGTCACTGTGAAAAAAAAAATTTCACTGCCACCAACAGAATCTATCTTTACCTTTTTAACTTTAGATGCAGTACGATGCTGTTTTCTTATGAAGATCCACTTCCATTTCAGTTCAATGTCTTCAACTTTTCTTATTGTTATTTTTTTTTGTTGTTTGTTTTTTTCTATGAAGGCAGCATGTGGACAAGAAAAATAATATATTGAAAAAAACAAAAACAAAAACAAAAACAAAATAAAATTATTAAGGCTAGTAGAGAGAGAGAAAAAAGAGGAGGAAAATAAATAATTAATTATTTGTTGGATTCCTTTTTATGTCAAATTCAGAGAAAATTGTCCAACCTTTTTTTCGTTTTTTCTTCTTATTACAGACCCCCTTTATTGATGGTACTGTGTTTCTCCTTTTTCTTCTGTAAGAACTACACCAACCAAACCTTCTTTTTCAGCTATTTTTTTTTTCCTTTTTTTTTTGTTGGAGGTTGATTTTTTCTTCCAATCCTTGAGGAACCTAAAAAAAAGTGAACCATGTCAGGCTTGTATAATCCGAACTTCTCACCTAGAGCTGCTTCTCCTCAGATTAGGAGCACCTCAGACTTGGATAGGTGGGTTGGTGCATCATTTTTATGTTGTTTTGAGATTAAAATTGAACAAGGGCAGAGAAATAAAAAAAAGAAAAAAAATTCAAGTTTGGACTCTTCCTGAAACACCCTTTGGATGTAGCTTTGTGTGTTTGATTTGCTTTGAATAAATTTCTGTGCTTTTGATTGAGAAGAGAAAAGGGTGGTGGTTGTTTTTGCAGTCAGTACCTATCAGAGTTGCTGGCAGAACATCAGAAGCTTGGACCCTTCATGCAAGTACTTCCCATATGCAGCCGCCTCTTGAATCAAGGTCACTTCTTGTTTATGGATCTATATATCTTTTTCCTTTTTCATCTTGATGTCTGTGTCAGCATGCTTGATGTGAGTTTCCAGATCGTCACTCACAAAAAGCTTGTATTGTGTCAAAGACTTTCTTCTGTATTGGACAATGGACAACTAACTATACTGTTGATCATGCATTGATTGCTATCCTTACCATCCATCATTGTGGCGGCACCATTCCCTTCTCACTTCACTTAATACTGATGCTTTGAATAAATAAAAAACATCATCCCCTATTGGATGTATTACGGAAAGAATTGACATTGTGCGTGTATCGTGCATAGATTTTTTTATTTTTTTTTGGTACAGATATTGTGCATAGATTATTAAGGAAAGGAAAGGATTACAGATGAAATGTACCTTCATAATTTTAGCTTGTTGCAATATGTTGAGATATATAGTCCCACGTTGGTTGAAGAGTACAAAAAAAAGGTAAACCAAAGATTGGGCCTGTTGCATAATCCACGCTTCAAGCCAAGAGAGCTCTTGCGTGAGGGGGCGTGTTGAGATATATAGTCCCACATTAGTTGAAGAGCAACTAATGTGGGAGTTTATAAGACCTTGGGCACTCCCACCCTTTGAGCGAGCTAGCTTTTGGGGTGGTGTATCCAAGGTTCTTTACACAATATTCCTGAATGGTATCTCTTTTTTTTTTTTGGTAGACAAAAGGGCTAAAACCCAGAACAAAAAAACTAAAGACAACAAAACCAAAAAACAGAAACGAAATAAAAACTCAAGTTCCAAAGATGCGCCTAGGCCTGCTAATGGAAGCCAGGTCCGCTTGAAGAACTAGGAACATCCCAGGCGGAGGGTCTTCAAACCACAAGAAAGAAGATTGATGTCCTTGGTCCACTCCATGATTAGCCAACCAATCTGCACAAGTATTACCTTCTCTAAACATATGAATGAATTTAATATTCCAATCCCGCATTATCCATGCCCGTATACGAATTACTAAATGAGACTCACGAGATGCATCACCTTTTTTAGTGAGCAAAGTGATGACATTATAAGCATCACTTTCAATAATGAGCTGCCTCCACCCTTTATTCCAGGCAGCTTCCAGACCCTTCAAAACACCCCACAATTCAGCCGTATAGGCCGTGTTGACACCTATATAGTATGAGAATCCACCACACCAATCCCCAACAAAGTTACGAAAGATACCACCACATGCAGCCTGGCCAGGACTACCCCGAGCTGCCCCATCCGTATTCAACTTCATCCAACCATCATCAGGTTTCCTCCATTGGATAAACTCAATTTGCTGTCTACTTACCAGTCGTGAGCTAGTATTCCTTTCAACCTTCCATGCATCTTGTATCTCCACAACTCTTTCAATAATTGTTTGCACCATCATGTTATCATTAGGGGTATCACAATTGTGTACAGTACTGTTTCGCCAAAACCAAAAAAAGCCAAATGGTACATATAAACAATGATTTCCAATCCACATTGAAAGGCCTGGTGCAATTGCTTGTTAAATTAACCTCTATCCAGTTATCTTGATTAGAAATAAAAAAATCATACCACTTATACCTTGGGAGCAGTCTCTTCCAGACAGACTTTATACGATCACAATCTCTTAGTGCATGCAAGATTGTTTCACTACTTCTCTTACAAATATCACATGTTGAGTTGCCAGCACCCCATCGAGCAATCCAACCTCTCGTGAGCAATCTACCATGTAGGAGCTTCCACGCAAACAACTTCATTTTTTGTGGCCCTTTCCACTGCCACACTGTACTCCATTCCGCCTCTGTGTTACTTACTATTATGTTCCTTTTGTCAAGCATATCATAGAACCCTTTCACTGTTGGCGTATTACAACCATTCAAAGACCAAACAATCTTGTCCGGTCCATCTAATGGATTAGGTGGAAGGCAACTTTTGATCACAAGAATTGTATCTTTTAACAGGATTAGTTTGAACAGATGTCGAGCATTCTCTTTTGAGGGATAATAGAAAATCCTATCCTCACAAAGCATGAACTTAAAGTTGTTGTCAGGATAGGAAATTAAAATGTCTGATTTGAAGTATTTGGTGTGTCTTTTCCTGTTTGGAGCTGGTAATGTATCCCTTCTGAGTGTCTACTCATAGTTTGGGTGTTAAAGTATAATAACTCAGTTTTTAATCAACATGTACAAATCTGGTGCCATTAACATTGAGACCTTTGGCTGCATTAGACCTTCTTCCACATAGACACTTAGGAGGGAATTCCCTGATAGAAATCAGTGGTGGAGTAGACAGTCTCTTGTAAGATTGCAAAAAGCTAGACCTTCTAAATGCTGCAGTGATTGAAAAAAGACAATATAGGACTTTGTCTGATGTAGTTCATTATCAAATGATGTCAATATGTGAATGATATATTGTCTGACATAATTCATCACGTCATATCTCTTGATTACTTCTTTTCTTTTAATTAAATTCCTTCCCTATTCATTCGTTATATTTTTAAAAGTATGCATATTTTTCTCATTTCATTGTTTCTCTATGTGCAGAAATATTAAGAGTTTCTGGAATGTTGTCCAACCAAGGTTTTGGTGACTTTGATAGACTGCGGCATAGAAGCCCTAGTCCTATGGCTTCTTCAAACCTTATGTCAAATGTCGGTGGGACAGGGTTGGGTGGATGGAATAGTCTTCAGCAGGAGGTGACTGCTTTTAAATTATTAATTGTTGCATCTGAACTTTATATCCCCAAATTATCATTATATTATTTGTATGTCTTATTTTTGTACGAGTAGTAGATGTGCATTCTGTTTTTGCTACAATACGTTAGCTGTGATAAATGCTTACATAATGTTTGTCTAATTTCTAGCATTGGACACTTCTAAAATTCCATCATCTATCCTAATGGTCTGGATTGTTATGCCAGAAGTGTTCAACTTTTGACTTATTGCACTTATTTTTTGTATTCCACATCAACAACACCCAAGACTTATTCACACTAAGTGGGCTTGGCTTCACGGATTCCATGATGTTGTTATGATCTATCTTGAATCATATATTTATCAAGCCTCGTGTACCTTAAATTCTTGTATTCATTCTTAGTAGTAATAATACTAATATTAATAATAATAATAATAGTAATACAATGCCATAAGGTGAGGTTTTAGGCCACAACACTTACAAGACCTACTTATTTGTTCTTGTAAGCAGTTTCTTAGAAAAACAGACCTTACATTAGATGGGTTGCTTGGCTACATAGGGTTAGTAGAAGATCTTGAAAGTCAAGGAATGTTGAATGATAAGAGAAAGGGAATTACTGAAGTTTAAACCCATACATTAATAAGGAATTTTGAATATCACAATAAAACCAAGCAATTCCTTGCACGTGTGAGTATTATTTTGATAACAGAATATATTTTGTTAGGAAAAGGTACAAGAGTATAGGATATGATATCCTCCTAAAAGAGACCAAAAAAGAAAAACATAGAAAACTTTTAATTTAAGTAAATATATCTCTTGGTATATCCACCAAAGACACACGCTTCTTTGAAAAAACCACTCTATCTCAAAAGATCCCAATGCAAGCAACTGACCATAAAAACTTAAGTGATCCTCTCCAACCATAGACACCAAATAGCAGCAAACATAGCATATTGCCAAATAGCCTTGTCCTCCTTTAATCTCCCAAACCTCTCAAATGAGAATGTAGCTAATGCTCCAAACTCCTAGACAAACCCAACATTCACCAAAAATACTTAAATTCTTACACCACAAATATTCTAAAGTTGAATCCACATAAATATAAGTCTGCTTGTCTCAGAATGAGAGTAACCCATAACACGCACTTTAGGAGATATTGAACTTTGTAGGGCTTGCAGTGCTACAATAAATTATTTGTATTAATCCGATTACGTACAGCAGTCCAAATGAAAGACTTCACCTTCAAAAGGGACATAGATTCCCAAAGGTATAGCAAGAAGAAAGCTGTCCCGGTTTAGAGATTGGATGAGGAATTAATTAGGTGTAAGATTTAAAGGTGATGACTAGAGGGGTCTAAACATCAAATCCTCCTATCTGGAATTGACAAGTTTGACAAATAGGCCATGCAAACCAATAAGTGCTCCATATTCCTTACTTCCTCTATCATTGAAGTTTTTGCAGAAAAAAAAATGAAAGAGAGAGAAAATTCCTATAAAAGAAATGAGACATCCAACCTTCAATGTGATCCAAGTCAAAGATCTGTCTTATTGGCATTATCTCGAAGAGTGTTAATATTTTACTGTAGTCATATCACTCACACCTATACCTGCTCTGTCCCATGATGATGATGATGTTTTGTCATATAATGATGGTCTTCTTACATGTCTTTACATTTCTATCCATATTACATATCATTAGTTTTTATGTGTTCTCTATTGTATAAGTTAAATAGTATTTTGTTATAATGATATTCCGGGGATATCTCTAATTTTGTAATTAATTGTTCGTGATAAGTGATAACACACTAGACAAGGCATATACTTAAGCTTAAAACTGGGATAGAAGTTTATACATGAGATGTGAAGATTGGAAGAAATATATACAAGTGAAAGGATGCTTAATACAAAAACTTAGACTTTGTTTGAAAATGATTCAAGCAAACTAAGGTATTGAATCTTTTCTTCTATTGGTAATTTTGTACTGCTAACAATTTCATGAAGTCAACAAGTGCCTGATTTGTTGGTTCCCTGAATTGAGAAGTGTAGTTGCTTGTTGTTTTTCATTTTTATAACAAAAGGCTTTATCCTTTGTTTCTGTTGTTGACTATGTTCATTTTCAACTTTTATAAATTAACATTACATTCTTTGGAAAAAGCAGAGATTATGTGGACCCCCTGGAATGACAATGGACTGGCAAGGTGCACCTGCAAGTCCTAGTTCATACACTGTTAAGAGAATCTTGCGCTTGGAAATTCCAGTAGATACATACCCCAATGTAGGCTTTTATGCAAATTCCAGTTGTAAAAAATCAAATTTGATTACTTAATCATACACCTGTATTTCATCTTTTCTGGAACTGAAAGTTCTATTACCTATATGTAATAAAAATATATTGCTTCTTATTGCATTAGTTCAATTTTGTTGGAAGACTTTTGGGACCTAGAGGCAATTCCTTGAAAAGGGTAGAAGCTACAACTGGTTGTCGTGTGTATATTCGAGGAAAAGGATCAATAAAGGATCCAGACAAGGTAATGAAGATAAACATAATTTTCCAGGTCTTATATTCCAAAATGTCTAAAAAATATGGTGCTTTTCATGATTGATCTGTATATTTTTTTATCATGCTTTTATCAACTGAGATTATTATTAATCTTTCAATCTTAAGGAAGAGAAATTACGAGGAAGACCAGGCTATGAGCATCTCAATGAACCACTCCATATTTTGATTGAGGCTGATTTACCTGCTAATGTTGTTGAATTAAGGCTCAGACAGGCTCAGGAAATTATAGAAGAACTGCTCAAGCCTGTGGTATGTTCATTCTCCTTATATCTTTCTCTGTTATGTAGGGATTCTGAACTAGCTACAGTTCTTCTTCACTTTGTCTAAGATCAGTGTTAACTGTATCCAGAAAAGTGCACTCATATTTAAAAGATTAAAAATTCTCAAGTGAATATGAAGATGCAACTTATCTTTGGTGCTCTATACTTGTAATTTGGACTGTTAGTTTCCGCGCACATGCCATCATTTACTTATTTGAAATCATTAACAGCAGTTATCATGGTAGGTTCTAGGTAGCAATCCACAACAGTTTATCACTAGCATTTTATTTTCTAAACTATGCCTTGCACTTTCAAGAGTCAAATCCATGTTGGTTGACTTATTAGGATACATTTTTCCTTTCCTTGTTTCCTAAAATATTCTGTTGAAATCAGTCTAAATTCTAAAGGGTGCCTTATTCTATCTTTGTGTAAGATATCATAGTGCAAATTAATCATTTCCCTAGTTCTGAGTTTGTACATCAATATCTTCCTTTGCACACTCAATTTTTTTCTTTTACTTTATCTTGGATGTCAATGTTTGATATGCAGGATGAGTCACAGGACTATATTAAGAGGCAGCAGTTGCGCGAATTAGCTATGCTGAATTCAAATTTCCGGGAAGAGAGTCCAGGACCAAGCGGTAGCGTGTCTCCTTTCAATTCTAGTGGAATGAAAAGAGCAAAAACTGGTCGTTGAAAAGGTGTCCTTGATGGTGTAGGTGGGGTATTGTGGTCCTCTAGCTATATTCATTGCTGAGGATATCTTCAAGTACATCATGTGTCATTCAAAGCAGCAGATATAAAAAAGAATAGGCTAACAATTCTTGCTGGTTAGCATTCTGGTGGTTTTGGTTTTTTCCTTCCCTTTTATCTCTATCCTTTTCTTCTTGAATAGACAAGAGACAAAGATGGAAGGAAGAATTCTTAAAAAGAGAAAATTTTATATAGTTGGGTATTGAGAGTAGGATTGTTCAAATCAACCCCTTTTTTTTTCTTGTAAACTTAATATACATTCATTGGATTTATTCTTGCATAGTTACTTTTGAGTAGTGTGGAATATATATACACATGTGATGGTGATGGTGATGGTGAAGCTTTAGGTCAAAGATGATGAAGTGTTGTGGGCATGTGACGTGTGTCAATCCTCATGGTATTTTAATATTTATAAGTTAGCATAGGTTGGATTCTTTTTAGTTTTTTGTCACAAGCATTTGCAGTTGGAATGATGCATGTCAGATGAACATCTTACTATGTACCATTAGAGGAAAAAAAAACCTGGTATTTGTTTTTATAGAATGGTACATAGAAATCTTCTGCTAATTATTTTAGATTTTTGTTGTTTTGTTCAATGGAGATGCATGGGATTTTTTTTTCCCTTAAGTTTTTTTTTTTTTGTTAAAAGGTCCATCACATTTAACAGAAGTCAAAGGCTCACATAGCAGCAGAGCCTAAGAATGAATATTGGATTAAGTGGATTCTGAATTGGCCTAACTTAGAATATTGGCTTTTGCACATCCTTTGAAGCTGAACTTCTTAGTATTTTGAAGGGTCTTGAAGCTTTGCTTGGAGCATTAATATCTGGCCAAGTTGAGATGTTTAACATAACTTCTGGTGCCAATCATATTGTTGATTTAGCAAATTTGAAGTTATGGAAAGATGGATATAGTAGGTAATGCTATAGATACTATAACGGATATTAGATTGATATCAATAATTAGTATTTTAATTGATTCAATCCAAAATCTTAAGGTGTGGGTGATGGTTTTTTAATAGTTTATATTGTTCCCCAACACACCCTTTCACGCAAAAGCTATTTGGGCTTGAAGCGTGGATATGACGTAAACCTAATTTTTTATTTACCTTGTGCTTATTTAATTTCACTAGAAAGTGTGGGGTGATGGGGATCAAACTCGTAATCTCGTGGTCATTGAAGCTCTAATACTATGTAAAGAATCAATTTAACCCAAAATTTTAAGGTGTTGGGTGGGTCTTTTAATAATTTATATTATATTTCTAACAGATTGATATTTATTAATTAATATCAATCATGATTAATCAATATCAATTTAATATTTTTATTAATGAATATTAACAATGATTCCGAATCTATAACATGGACAACCGTTACGTATACCTTCATGTTACCTGTTTCTTGTGTTTATCTTCTTGGGCTTTTGCATCTCTTTATTTTATTTTTTTGTAAGTGTTGTGGTGGACATGTGACATGTGTCAATCCTCGTGGTATTTTAATGTTTATATTCTTAGGCTTTTCATCAAACAACAAGCGACACAAGTTTATCTCAAAAACAAAATGTCGTTCTCAATAAAATTTGTTAACATTACATTACATTAGTTACTTAAAATGCCTCGCTAAATATACAAATTTCATATATTATATATCACACACCATATGTGCTATATGTACCATAACATAAATTGAGATTATTTCAAATGAATAGACTCATGTTTGAGTACTTTATTGATAAGTAAGTTCTTCAATCTTCGAATATCTCTAGTACCATCTTTGAGAGGGATTTAAAGTCCTAATCATGGACCTGCCCCAAATCGGATTAATTGTTTAGCAATGAACCGATTGGAATATTTTCAAAAAAAAAAAAAAATCTTCAATCTTAAACTTTGTACATGACTAACCACGTGATGAGTGATGCCGTTTGATGACATTACTAATCTCATGGTATGGCAATAAAAGCATTAATATGGAGTTGTGATCATATTTAGGACTTTATTTTATTTTTCTTGGCATAACATTATGTTTTAGCTTAGAAGAGGAAGGAGCTAAAGGAGAGGGAAAACAAAAAAAACTCTATTTAAAAGAGTAGGAAGGATGAACTGCCAAAAATAAAAAATAAAAAATAGGGGGTTTGAATTCTAGAGAGGATCTTTATGTTAAAGATAAATAATTATCTGTACTTCAAAAAAAAAAGATAAATAATTATCATATCGCTAGTCTCGGGATTAATTTCATACATGTCCAAAACCATTTTCCCGCTGGGGCAAAAGGTTAGGATTGCTTCAATTCTTGCTTTGTGAACTAATAAAGCATAGGAAAATATCAGTTACAAGGATCCAAAGCCAAGTTAGCTTTGATTAAGCTTTAACTTTTAATTTATTTATTTTTTTGTAAAAGAGCATTAAAATTGTAGGGAATTAATCAATTAGGATATAAAAAAATATTAACAAAAAAAAAATAGAGACTTTCCTCAATATATGTTTAAAGAGAAAAAGAAGAGTGGATTAAATTTTTTTTATTTTAAATTGTGAGAGTTATAGAATATTTATATATGAATAATAAATAATTTGAACTTGAGACGTTTGAAGTCCTTTTATTTTGAAAAATAATTAAATGAAAAATATTAACTTAGAATTGCTTACTTACTTTCAATGTTTGTTGATATGATATATGGAAACTAATGCTGAAAAAAATGAGTCAAAGGTTTGTCCTGATTCAATAATTAAGACTTACATTCATATTATGTAGGGTTGATGAGGTCACCGAAGGAAATATGCACAATGATGTTTTTCACTCTAAAATATGGAATTCCATAATAAAGGATAAAATGAATTCCATAACTAATCGGTCTTTTAGTGTCAAGCAAAAAAAGCAAAAGTTCAATAGACTACGATCAAAGCATCGTGAGTTCTCTTTACTCTTGCAACACACTGTATTTGATTGGGATGCAGAAACCAACATTGTTACTGCCAGTGAAGAAGTCTGACAATCTTACATTTGGTTATATTTAATATTTTGTTTGTAAGGTTATGATTTTATTTAATTGTCATCATTTTTAAGTATCGTTTGACTATAATATGATTTACTTATTTTTTGTCAATATTTTACTATTTTAGGCACATATAGAGGTTGCTCAATTTCAAAAGAAAGGATGTGAGCATCACAAGTTACTGAGAATCTTATTTAATAGAAGTACTGCAACATGAGTACTTCATCATTCATCTACCCAAGACCCACCAAATACAGATGAAAAACTTGAGCTTGAAAATCAATACCTTAATAATGATGTTCTTGTAGATGTTAATCAAGATAGTTCAGATGATGACCTGCAAACAATTGAGCATACCACATATCAAGGAAAACACAAAATTCAAGCAAGAGAATGTAAGTCTCACAAAGAGTCTAAAACATTTCAAATTATAGATGCACTTCAAGCATGGGCTAAATCATCTAAAGCAAAAACATAAGTTTCTTTAGCAAAAATAGAGAAATATAGGGTCACTTCTTCATACTATTCTATTGCAAAGTGTGTGGCTTCCCTTGAAGAGATTGAAGATGTTGCAAATGACATCTACATGAAGGATTTGAAAAAATTTATAGAGCCTACTTGGAGGGAAGTGTTTCTTGCTATGTCTACTGATAGGAAAAAGGCATGGCTAGATACAATTGACTGAGAAACTTTAAATGTACGATTGGATGCTTTTGGTCATATTAGATTGTGTTGTACTTTACTACAACTATGGTTTTGATTTTGGAGCAGCTATGGTATGACTTTAGTTTGTGTTTTGCTTAAACTTTACTATGATTAGACTAGCTTTGCCTTAGCTGTATTTTTTGTTTTGCTGAAGCTTTGGTTTGATCATTTTTGCTAATGTGTATATAGTTATATGCTACTTTTACTTTGATTAGGAGGAACAAGGAAAAAGCTATGAATGTATACATTCGCTAACATAATTAGGAAAATATGTTCAATCTATCATTTTCTTTTGTTTTCAACCGATATTATAATAACCCTAAAAATTAAATTTCATTAATTCGAGAATTAATGTATAATTAACGGGTTAAATTAGATTAAAAGTCTAATTATTAATTAAATCACTTTTCGGGATAAAAGTATAATTAATGAGAGTGTTGGTTAAATATGTAATTCATGCAAAATGTGCGAGAACCAAAATAAATCAAGTGTGTGACACACCATAATGGGACACAACTCATTTAAATGGGGGCCAAGTGGTAAGAGGTGTAGTGTTGTAATATGGAAGAGGTGTGAAGGGCAAAATGGCAAATTCACCTTAAGATATTTTCTTACGCCATAGACTCTCTCTCCCCTCTCTTTCCCTTTCATTTTCATTACTCTCTCTCCTCTCCATTTCTCTTTTTCATTTTCTTCCATCGGTTCCCCTCCATTGAAGACCTTGAAGAGCTTACCCATTTGGTTTTCTTGTGACCACTCTTTCCTTGACCCATCCTCATCTACCCATCAAGGAAAAATCAAGTTAGGAAACCATCATTTCCTCTCCCCTCCTTACCAATTTCATGGTATATGTTGGGTTGAAGAAAAAAGAGGTGTTTCACCCATCATTGGAGCTTGGAAGTTGTGATTATTCAAGCCTATGGTGTATTAGAGGTGAGCCTTGGTAGTTTTCCTTGAGTTCCATTGGTTTTCATGAAAGGGATTAGGGTTTTATGACATGTAATTAAGGATTCCAAAATTTTACATAAATTTGGCGGTAATTGATGGTTTAATTGTGTGGTTATAATGTAGGAATATTGTGGGTGTTGTTATTGAAAGAGGTTTTGACCAACCTTTGGACTTGGGTTGAGTATTCTTGTGATTTCAAAGATTGTGGTAAGCTCTAAACCTATGTCTTTGTTGATGCCCAATATTGTGGCTTGATTATCATGTGTATATGTGATATTAATTGGAATCATACATGTGAAATAGGTGATGATAGTTGATAACTTGGACAAGAGAAAATTAAAGGATTTAGCTTTGACAAGGTAAACTATTGGACCTTGGGGTTTTTTTTTCCTTTGATGTTCCACCATACTCTGTGAGGAGTAATGGTTTGTATGACATGATGTGTATTGGTGTTGAGATTTGGTGTTATGGCTTAAGTATGAATATATATATATATGCTTGTATAATTGCATGCTTGCATAGATTCTCTGGTCAGTAGAATAAATATGAACTTTCCTTGGAGCCAGAATTACGTGGATAAACTGTAAGAGGGTAAAACCTAAGAGATGTGAATCCCTTGTGTGTGTTATCTTGAAAGTTTCATATGAGAGATGTGAAACCTATAATGACCCTAACTGGTAAATCTTAGTTAGAGATTTAATTTAAGGATTTAAATGCCATAATTAGATTCAGTGAGCGATTTCGAGTATTTTGACTGTAATCATGACTATGTTATGAACAGTGCGTTCTGCCGGAGAATTTACAGTTTTGTGAATTAACCGGTAGAGCTTAAAAT